CCCCCCTAGAGAAGCCCAGGCCCAGGCCCCAGTTGCTGGAGATTGAGGACTGATTGAGATTGGAGGTCTTGGAGACCAGATCTCCCTCATAGAGGTGATGACCTGATGTTGTATGATGGGATGTCGTGGACTTGCTGATAGATGATGGTTGATGGACTTCTGTGTGGGAATCAGTGAGAACTAGTATGTTTGAATCAGATTGATGAGAAATTTGATAAAGTCGACATTTTTGCTAGACACGTTCTTCAAAACAACTAACATTTTCAAAAAAACACAGAAAACCACAAATCACAAAAACGCGTAAAAACCACACCCGCATAGCGTCGTTTTCTGTAAAATTACCTAGCGCTTCAAGTACCATCGTTGCACACGAAGTAGTCTGCTCAACCACCGCCCACCAACACAAATGTACATGGGCAGCTTTGGCTCATTGCGCTTGAGCACTGCAGACACAAGCGCGCGCAGTCTCAGCCCAAGGGCAAGACCAAAGTGCATGACGCTTGGAGCACCTCCAAACTCGAAAGGGAACTGGATGAAACTATTCCCAAAGATCTACCGACTCAGCCAGTCCTGGGTCAAAAGAACGCATATGTGACGCGCAAAGCCGTTTCAAGTTTGGCAAGGTTTCTGAATGCGTGCCTTGAGTGCGGAAACAGTTTCCAATACACCGACAGGGAGTTTTTCCTTCGAAAAGAACACATAATCATGTGAGCCGACTTTCAGCTTCAGAGTATTTACTGCAGATTCTTCCAACCAACTTAGCTGGGCTGGGGGTTTCCAATTAGAATCTCAGGCCTGCACCTCTGACACCAACAACACCAAAGAGCGGTGGCGGTCTCGTGATCATGCAATGGCGAAGCACGCTTTCCCTTCTGCGCCAACCACTCATAGGGGATGCCTAGCGTGGCGCCGCTGCTTCTCCTCAGAGCAGAATCTTGCACATTAAAAAGTTGTTTTCGGAATGAATATATAGTCAGCCTCCCTTTTGAGAATGGTCACTATGTCAGTCAGCTGTTGCTCGCTTACATGTAGCAGATTAAAACATCGCTTCAGAAGCCTGTTTTTGTTGCCGGTCTGCTACGGGACATGTTTAGGGTCACAACCCAAGCAAGACAGAGAGATTACACGGACACGTGCAGGTCAACAAAGCTGAAGGATTTTGAAGAAAAAACAGGTCCTTGTGTTCCAGACACAGGTGCAGGGTTGAGGTTTCCTACAGCATATTTAACCGTACAGACCTAGAGCTTGATTGGTACAGTCACTTTGGCCTCTGGACTTTTCAGCAAGTTCTGCGCAAGTTGGCACAAAAGTGTGGATTGTGCAGGCTCAAGCTCAGGGTAAACTTCGAAACGCACTTTTCTTGTCGTAGCGCCCTTTCGTTTTGGCGATGTCTACCTTGCCCACAAGGTCCGAGACGGACGCCACTGAGGGCATCATCGGAAGTTCACACGTCGTGCGCGACGGCAGACTTGACCAAAGTAGCGCGGCTAAGATCTGCCAACTGACACGCCACGCATTGTGGTATCTGGCGCACTTGGCTTTATTTTGGTCTTTCGCCCCGTGAGCTTCACTCACATAGGACGAATCTCGACCAATCTCCCGTGTTTTAACACAGACACAGCATACTACCAGCATACCGCAATTCACGACTCTCCAGTATAGTGCCCAATGAGAGTTGCGACAAGGGTTGACATGTTTTTTCTAAGCATTGAAATACAGGGTCCTTAAGGTCAAGGTTGTTTGTTATATCTGAATGTTTTCTGGCAATCGGGTGTCTTATCAGGACTTTGATTCCCCAGCCTCTGGCCACGTGGGACCTGGGACCTTTCATCTCACACGCTCCTGTAATTTCTTTGCAGCTGGTTCGCCTTGTCGAAATTCCAAAAGTTCTAGTCTGCGTGGGCTTGGGCCTGACGTATTTTTTGCTGCCAAACCATGCACTAAACTGCCCGCTTAAGGGCTTGCAAAAAACCAGCGATTTCGTTATAGAACGTGTCGCTTCCGAGAGTCTATGTTCCCACCAGCGCGGCCTTGGAGCAGCTTCTTGTATTGCGTCTTCGCAAGTCATGTCTCTCCTACTGTTAGGCTTATAAAACCTTTGAGACATAGATATAGATATACATGTCTCTCCTACTGTGAGGCTTATAGAACCTTTGAGACATAGATATAGATATATTTATATATTTATTAATATAGTGATTTTGTTGCACAGCTTTCTGGCTAATGAACGCAATAGTATTAGATGCCCCAGACAGAGCCCGAACCATAGCAAAAGCTCTAGACAACTATGGTTGGCAAGCTCCTAAGCCAACAGTGACAAGGCACAAGCAAGGAGCGTGTCGCATATCATGCAGCAAAGAGGCTTAGAGGTACAAAACAGACGTTCCAAGGAAAAGGATAATGTAAGTGAATCTCAAGTCGGGCATTGTAATTGTTTGGAACCTAAGCCAGAAGTGCGAACAGAAGCTGGTTGAGGACCATCAAAGCCGTTGTTAGCATAGGTTCAAGATCCAAGACAGGTTATCGCAAGCAACATGTTTGATCGCTTTCCGCTGATCTAACGCTCGAGTGATTTTCCGGGCATCCAAGGAGACTCGTTCCAACTTTTTCCTCGGAGCTCGACATTTCGCCTCTTTGCTTTTGTGGGGAAATTTGGAGTGGGGATTGTCAAAAGGGGGAGCCCTTGATTGAATTGCCCAACCATTCTCTGTAGATTGAGGCATTTGTCGACATGAATTCACTTATATAATTTGATATAATTTGGAAAAGCAAGAGTGGTGGTTGGAAAGGGGGCAGGTTGGCTGCTTGCCATCCGTTGCTGATGCGTGAGGCTAAGCAGCTGATGTTTAGACTCGAGCACTTTAAACTTATACTAAGATCCCTCGAACTGAACATCTTCGAAGCAGAATGTCCCCACTTCTAGATCTTGAGTCACATTTCGGGTCGGTTGTTCCAAGCCTAATCAAGAATTTCAATGCCCTTGCTGCCCTTTCTTGAAGGTGCCTCAGAGCCACCTTGGATCTAGATACAGCTTCTCAGCACGGAGAAAGCAAAATGCAGAATGAGGGCACGCGTATGTGCTTGTCAGCCCAGAATACATGCGCGCATTCTTGCCAGGATTTGGGGTAGAATGCGGCTATGAAAGCGGAGATGTGTATAATACATAAAGATATATGTATAGATGTAACATATTTTTTTAACCAAATGTGTATACTGTGTATCTATATGTGTATATATATATATACATGTGTTTTACTGTTCAAAGGACCCAGGTTGGCCGGTCGCTCGCGAAATAAACAGAATCGAATCAATTTTTCAAGCGAGGTCCGGAGCTCAACCTGCTCCGCAGTCAACTTGCAAAGTGCACGGAGTACTGGTGCAGCGACGGAGAGATCCAGCAGCAGCACGTTGGTTGGGCAAACGAACGTTGCCCGTCCAACTACTTCTAGGAAATTGAGAACTGCGCTTGCCCATGTCTCAGTCTTTGTTTTGACTATTGCCGCAATTAGTCAGTAGAAAGCACAGACAAGTCAAGATCTACAGAAAGCCAAGACAAGTCTTCCAAAGAAGACTTGCCAAAGAAGACAAAGGAGTGGCGGTTTCTAGTGTTCTTTGCGCCGATTTCGGAAGAGCGCTGCCGCACAAACTTCAAAGTGGCTCTAACATAGATTGCTTGACCATGAAGACGCAGTTTCCGAAGGGCCTGAGTAATGTAGCATCCAGGTGTATCACACTGGGTCCACAAGGCGAGACAGAAAGAAGCCACCCACCCAGCTTTGTTGGTCAAGGTTTGTGATATCGCGCCTCTAGCCCCTGCTATATCAAAACCAAAAATTTAGAGCAAAAGAACTGCCTGTAAACGCAGTCAAACACAAATCTGTGACACTAGGGTTTCAACAGACCTTCCAGAACATGTGACTCTATAGTGTCCACACGCGCGCGTGCACGCACACACACAGACACACCGACACATTCAGAATTCAGATCAAGTTCACCAGTCAACAGGAGTTAGCTCAGCACTCAGATAACTCAGCACTAGGCCACCCACAGTCACCTGGCACCCTCCAGCCACTTCACCGCTCGCAATGTTAATATTCTCGGGCAAATTGGAGCCCCCTGGATTGCTGGTCTGTGGCCTGACTTATGTCATGTCCAGGTAGTTTGGCCGAGACATGACGCCCAGGTTGAAGGCGACCCTGCAACTAAAGCAACAGGACCGGGTTGTTCAGCTCGTATACTCCATCCAAGGCAGCGGTGGGCCATCTATTTTTCAGCCATTGAGAGTTCTTGTTTGCGCTGCAATAGATTCAAGATAGGGTTGCAGCTTGACAGACTTGCAAGCAAGAAGGGTGGCTACAGATGTCAATGTGTGAGTTGCTTGTTAAATGTGTCGGGCCCTGGTCCTGCCTACGTTAAATTTTGGAAAAGACAAGCTGATCTGGGCGAGCAAGACCTGTCCATTTGCTCAAGGACGGTCCTACTGCGACACTTGCAGGTGTGTCAGATGAACTCTCCAGCACCGACGAGGGTGCCCAAAACTCAATAGTGACCTCATTGAGCCTCCGGCAACAACGACAAGCAGTCGCTGAACGAAAGGCTGAGGTCACTTAGCTTCATCAAAACCATGTTTAGTTTGCTTGTTTTGCGCAAGGAATCAAATTAGACTACCTGCGAAAGATGTTAGCAAGCAAGTGACAAGTCGGTGTCAATGAACAATTAGGAAGGGGTAGTTTCCTCTAACTGTTGTCCGAAGGGCTCGAAAACAGAACAACATATATATATATATATACAGTGTGTGTGTGTGCGCATACGTATATGTTTTTTTTGAGTGAGATGCAATTATGTTTAGCAGGAAACCGCATGAAGAGGAAAAGGGGAATTGCACGCGCATTACAGGAGATGATGGAGAATCAGGACCTCTTGGAATTGCACCCTGATCGTCTAGCAGTCCAGCAGGATTTGTTGACTGCCTCCAGTGTTGGGCGAGTGCTGGCACTGTGTTCCGCAGAGGAGCGGAACAGCAGGGACTTGCCCAACGCTGGTCACAGCAATATTGGATCAAAAGTCAACTCCTCTTACAACTGGAGGAGAATCAATAGAGATTCAACCTCCTCCAAAAGCATCCTAGTCTCAGTAGAAGATGGTAGTTGTCGTGGTCGTGGTCGTGGTCGTTGTCGTCATGGTGGTAGTACGTGTAGAAGTAGAAGTAGAAGTAGGGGTGGGAGTAGGAGTTGGAGTGTAGAAGTAGTAGTAGTAGTAGTAGTAGTAATAGTAGTAGTAGTAGTAGTAGTGTAGTAGTAGTGGTAGTAGTAGTAGTTGTTGTTGTTGTTGTGATAGAATGTGGGAGTGGGAGTGGGAGGGGTAGTGGTCGTCCAAGTAGTGGTAGTGGCGTGGTGGTGGTGGTGGTTGTGGTGGTGCTGGTAGTAATAGTAGTGGTAGTAGTAGTCGTAGTAGTAGTAGTAGTAGTAGCGGTAGTCGTAGTAGCAGTAGCAGTAGTAGTAGCAGCAGCAGCAGTAGTAGTAGTACTAGTCGTAGGTATAGGTAGTAGGTAGTGGTAGTGATGGCAGTCGTGGTAGTGGTGGTAGTTGTAGTGGTAATGGTGGTGGTGGTGGTGGTGGTGGTAGTGGTAGGCTGGTATGGCGGTGTAGTGGTATAGTGGTAGTGGTAGTAGTAGTCGTCGTAGTCGTAATAGTCGTAGTGGTGGTAGTCGTCGTAGTAGGAGTAGTAGTAGTAGTAGTAGTGGTAGTTGTAGTAGTGGTTGGTGTAGTAGTAGTAGTAGTAGTAGCAGCAGCAGCAGGAGTAGTAGTAGTAGTAGTAGTAGTGGCACTAGTCGTACTACAAGTAGTAAGTAGTAAGTAGTAGGTGGGAAGTAGGAAGTAGGAAGTAGTAGTAGTAGTAGTCGTCGTCGTCCTCGTCGTCATAGTGGTAGTGGATGTGGTAGTAGTTTGTAGGAGTAAGAATGAATTAGCAATTGTAGTAGTAGTGGTAGTAGTAGTAGCAGCAGCAGCAGTAGTAGTAGTAGTAGTGGTAGTGGTAGTGGTAGTCGTAGTCGCAGTCGTAGTCGTAGTCGTCGTAGTAGTAGTAGTAGTAGTAGTACTGGTAGTAGTACTAGTAGTAGTACTAGTAGTAGTACTAGTAGTACTAGTAGTACTAGTAGGAGGAGTAGCAGTAGCAGTAGCAGTAGCAGTAGCAGTAGCAGTAGCAGCAGCAGCAGCAGGAGTAGTAGTAGTAGTAGTGGTAGTAGTAATAGTAGTGGTAGTAGCAGCAGCAGCAGCACCAGTAGCAGTAGCAGTAGCAGTAGGTAGTAGTAGTTGTCATAGGGTGATTGTGGTTGTGGTGGCACTCATGGACGTCATATTGTCCAACCATTGCCGGCGGATCAGCGGATCAGCGGACCAGCGGATCAGCGGATCAGCGGACCAGTGGATCAGCGGATCAGTGGATCAGCGGATCAGCGGACCAGTGGATCATCGGAGCGGCGGATCAGCGGATCATCGGATCAGCGCATCAGCGGATCAGCGGATCAGCGGACCAGCGGATCAGCGGACCAGCGGATCAGCGGATCAGTGGACCAGTGGATCAGCGGATCAGCGGACCAGTGGATCAGCGGATCAGCGGACCAGCGGACCAGCGGATCAGCGAATCAGCGGACCAGCGGACCAGCGGATCAGCCGATCAGGGGATCAGCGGATCAGTGGATCAGCAGATCAGCGGACCAGTGGATCGGCGGATCAGCGGACCAGTGGATCAGCGGATCGGCGGACCAGTGGATCAGCGGATCAGTGGATCAGCGGGCCAGCGGATCAGCGGACCGGCGGATCAGCGGACCAGCGGATCAGCGGATCAGACAACCCAGCGACCACAAGTCGGCGGTGGTGGTGGTGGTGCTGCTGCTGCTGGTAGTAGTAGTAGTAGTAGTAGTAGTAGTAGTAGTGGTAGTAGTAGTAGTAGTCGTAGTAGTAGTAGTAGTAGTGGTTGTTGTTGTTGTTGCAGGAGTAGGAGTAGAAGCCAAGAAAGGTTCTTTGAGGGAACCAGCAGCTAAACAATAGAACATTTAGCTCAAACCAAATCAAAAGAACAATCGTGAATCTTGACGTTAACAATACCGAAGGGATAAAAATCCTTTTAAAACTCCGACTAGGAAAAGCACATAAAAACACCCCAGTTCAAAGTTTGGGACGTGACTTACGTCCTGGAAACAAGAGGTTTTCTTTGGCAATGTCCTTTGATAATTTGATGGTATATAATGGGTGCGAAGCGTATTTCATATAAGTATTTTGTTTGCCATGTATTCTCCTGATGTGTTTCTTGTGCAGGGTACTCACAATGTCAATGTCAATATAACGTCTTTGTCGTGGTCACTATGTTTCGAAGAGTGAATTTGGCTATCTACACTATACCAATTCGCAAATAAACTGGAGGTTAGACAAGGTTAACGGCAAATGTTGGATGCCTGAATTTTGAACCACTAATTGAAGTTGTCCATGTATATATTAAATATGTTGGGTCACAGACAGAGCTCCAGGAGGTTGCTCAAATGGATGCGATCAACCTGGTGACGGCCTGTCATCGAATTGCCAAGCTGCACCACGGAAGCCACCTTGTCCAAGGAAGAAAATGTGTTTTGTTTATGTACTAATTTACTATGTTCAAATGTCTACACGAGCAACAGCTAAGGTTCTGCTTTCCTGAAGGAAAATCCGCATTTTGAGTGGTTGATTGACCGCACGGGCCAGAAGCTGCAGGCCTGGAAGGTCGTTGATAATGTAAGTATGCAATCTAGTTTGCCGTGTTTAGGCTCCATATGCCAGCTGAATGAAGTTCCAGTTTCAACTTATGTGGTTACTGAAGGCCAATCATTCTCATCAAGGTGTTTTGGAGGTTGTTGATTAACAATATCATCTTCAAAGCGCCCAGGATTGCTCGACAGATGGGAAGAAGGAACTGTACTGCAAACACCCGCATGATGTAATTACAAGTTCTAACGTTGAGTTTCCCTAAAAGTCATTAGTGCGAGCGCTTCTTCAAGGAAGCTTGCCCCGGCATCCTAAGTAGTAGCTACTTAAGCTACTAGCTACCTCTTCTATTAGCCACCTAGCTACTACTTGCGCGAGGTAATTTCGTCCCGCGGAACGTGCCCTCAAGAGAGCTCACACTTTTGATTTTTGGCAAGGCGCACAAGGGGTAATCCACTGAACGTCAGGTGGTGTAGGAATTGTTTGGCTTCTTCATACGAGTGTTCATACCGCTAGGATGATGGAAGGCTGCCACTTTATTGCAGGTGTTCATCTCCTATAGTTTATCATTAATGATTCAACATGTTATACAATGTTTAATATGATGGTCCCATCTGTGTAAAGGAACATCACAAGGACCGGCCTTTGCCCGCAGGTTTCTCTTCCGACAGCAAGCATATATACCTCAGGACTGAAACTTAGAATGCCCCCAAAAAAAAACCGGAGGCGAGAAATCGTAGGGTGCACCACGGCAAAATGGGAACAAGTTCACGTTGAATGCACTGGCTGCAGGAAAAATAGTCTTAGAATGCGTCCTGGAAGTGTCTTGGGGTGTCAAACCCATGGCCCAACCGGCTGTACATAGTGAGGAATTTAAGACTTAGAATGCGACGGATACACCTATGTTCCAATTTCATGATTTGATTGTGCGATTTTCAACACCACAGCAACACCACGGCAAACCCACAGCAAAAGCCCCACAAACCACTGCACATAGTGGGATATTTGGCACTTAGAATGCGAACAATCATGTATTATTTTATATACAATCAAAGTTTCAGTCCGCAGGTAAAAAAATCTTACTGTATATTATGTACCAATCAAGAGCATTTACACCGAATTCGTCTTTGGACTGTGCCATCAGAATACAATAGTCGCTATCTGATGGGAAAAAGAACTCCTGTATTATTGCACGCATTGCCGGATGCCTGGGAGGCATTCTAACTGAACTCTTTTGCCGTGCAGTCACATTCTAACTATCGGAGGCGGCAAATCGTCAAACATGTCGCATTCTAACTTCCAGTCCATAACTATAGACAAACCGGAATCGCTGACCCGAAAGTACATGTGTGTTCGAAGACTTGGAAACTCCATAGTTTTGTTGGTGTTCGAACCAGATTGGCAAAAACATTTCTGAGAAACGAAATGATACGAACAAATGCAGCAGCCACAACTTTCACATGTGCCCGTTGGACACACACACAGAAGGAAAGGATAACAAGAGAAACATGCGCGCAGAAATGACACATTGTGCACACAAGAGCATGTTTGAGGGATGCAGACTGATGCAGAGGGAGGGTGGACTTGTACTGCTTGGAGTGTTGGCGGGCAGTTTTTGATACTAGTAAGTCTAGTCAGCTAGCGCAGCGCTTTGCTAGCTCAACACTCAATTATGCAAGCAACTCACCATACCGGTTTCTTCGCGCTTGTGAAGCATCAGGGCCAGTGTGTGTTTGGAATGGTGCGAGTGTTCGGCAGTGTTCTTTGATTCAAGGACTCACTTTCAGGGACACATAGTTCCTGCAAGTTCGTGGAAGGTATATTTTCTGAACTTATCCTTTGGATAGTAGTGTCACACGAGAGCAGTTTTGGAACCCAAACAAGCTCTCATGGGCAGCACTTTAGTCAAAAGCTGCGTTGTCCAGATTAGATTGCAGTTGGGTGCAACAAGCGGTCCAGTGGTGTTAGAAGTACATCAAATCGCAAGCGATTCCAGAGTGAGCTCCTGGCTAAATATGCTAGTCCAAGTCAAGTGCATCTACGGATTACGGATAATTAATTACCTGCAGTATTACTTACATTTACAGACTGTACTTGCCTAAACTCAAACGTCAAGCTTAGTGCATGGTTGAAACAAAGGGTTGCAGCGACATGCAGCAGCAGAATGAAGACCACTGTGACAATTGTAAATCATCAAAGCCGCAACACAATAAACTCAGCAAATTTGCTGATCCATGCACGCAAGGACCTCAAACCGCGTGGCATGGTTCACATATTTTGGGCTCTGGTGAAGCTGGAGCATTGGCCAAGTGGCATGACTTCGTTTGTTGATGTGAGGCTAGATGAGCATGGGTATGCGCAGTCAAAATACTGCTCAACATCAATGCTCCAGTTCTCGAGCTTGTAATCGTCGATGTTGTTTCATTCATAAGTTCTCTTTTGAAAGGGATGCACTGAAAGTTTATGCGGGGGGTAGGAGCAAAGACGCTACTAGGGGCTCCTGGCCTTACTAGTAACAAGAAGCTATTAGAAACAAGAATTCAAGTAGAATTGAAATTACCTTCAGGGCAGTCCGTTGGGATCCGTGCTGAAGGTTGGTTGCCGGAGCTAATGACTTTATTCACGATCAATATCGACACTTTCACTGGAAGAGATTTGAGTGTCTTGGCAAAGGTTGTTGTACTGATGACAAGCTGGTAGCGTGTTGCTTCCGCTCAATGTTTCATGTTGGGCAGGTTGACTAAGAAATAGTTTGCTATGGGAGGTTTGAAGTGCATTTAGATGAATTTAGTGTGTATATTTAACTTACTTACTTGCAAGGCAATGACAGATTGGCTTAGTCTTGAGAGATGTGAACAGCTAGTATTCAGCCGACTCTTGTGATTTGCTTACCTGGGATACGAGGTGTCATCCTTGGTGCTTTGGCAAAGTTCCCAAAGGCCGAAGGGAGCGAACTCAAGGACTGGGAGGGCTCTTTTTTGAGTACAGGACATTTGGACTCAGTCAACTCGGAGAAGCTTCTTGTTCCTAGTAGTAAGAATGCTCCTAGTAGCGTCCTTGCTCCTAGTACTAAGGCCAGGAGCCCCTAGTAGCGGACATTGCTCCCAGGCATATCGAATCTTGCTTGCTTTTGGAGCAGCGGCTGGGACGGTCCTCCAACACAATAGGTATTGATGATATTGCATACTTGAGGGCGGAGGTATGTTAGTATGTTGACGTGGCGATGAAGATGAGCAGCTTTGCCTCCAGTTTTCTCATAACGTTATCATAACATGTGATGACCAGATGTGTATCAAAATTTGCGCATGTACACCATGCCAAATGTACAGGTGAATGGGCCGATTGTTTGAAGCAATCTATTTACCCGTTCAGAGAAAGGGCTATGCCTTAAGTTTGATTTAAAAGGAAAAAGCTGTGCTGGTTTGCAGGAATGTGATTCCAATGTAGGAGGTCAACATGCAGACTGCAGCCTGAACCCGCTGTGATTTGGGATACCTGAGTAATCAAGCCAAGTTGTGTGGGAACGACAAGCTTGCAAGACAATTGCACCAAATGTTGCGATCCCTCAGGTATGCTTTTTGATTTGATACGCTGGGTAATTAATCGGTTTGAAGCTTCCAGTTTTCTTCGAGGCATCCTCATGAGAAATACCCATGACAATTATGGTTTTCAAGTTCCGAAAGTTGATGCGCTGAGCCAGGAGGCAGCCCTGGCAGAGTTGCGCTTCAGGCTGCCACAGCTTCAGGGACCCACTGAAGCCTTGATTGAACATGTTGTTTTAAATCAGTTGCAATTTTGCACACCACTTTCACATGCAAGGGCAAGTGTGTCATAATCCTGTAATGGTCCTGGTAGATTGCCACACTTTGAGGTGGAGGTGATTTGAGATGGTGCCTTTAGCTCTTGGGCAGACATACTTGCATATATAGTTTTTTCAGCAATTGGTGAAACCCTCAGAAAGGATGGAATGATAGGTGATCCCCAGGTAAAGCCTTACAGCTTTGCAACTATCATTCCAAATGTTCTTGGAGGATCTTGCAGGCATGTTTTGGAAGGTAGATTTCAGTCTGGCATATTTTTATATATATATAATCAAGTCACTTCCGAATAATCTACTTATAAAACCTTGGTAGATATCGTGCTTTGTCAACATTGTCCTACCACATCGCCACTTGATCTTGACGTTGAGCGGATATAGTTAATTAGGGTCATCATCCACGGGATGTAACTTGCTTGCTTAAGGACATTGCCTGCGTGGCATCATCTTTGTGCCGTTTGTAGCTTGGCCATCGATACATTGACAGGCTATCCCTGGTCTCGATTGATTCTCCGCACCCCGAATGTTGATCAATCCTGTATAAAGACCCTTTGATGTCGTTTATTTACATCACAGTCTTCTTGGGAGGGGGGACAGTCTGCGTTTGGGCAAACCTGTTTAGCAGTACAAAAGCGCACAATTAAAAAAATATATATATCTATGTCAGGAAGGTGGATCATGCACATGTAAGAGCACCAGTGCCACCACTGTCCCTTTCCTCTTCAAGAGATCCGGCGGTGATCGGTGGTGATCATGGTCTACCCACCATAAATGGCCATACCCACCATGTCACTCTACACTCTATCGTTTGGTCGTTGAATGAGTTTGTAAGGACAGGATTCCGAGTGGCCCGCCTAGTGCCAATCTTCGCGGTCACCTCTCACCTCAATACTCAGAGCTTACCAAACGCTCTGGTGCATCCTGAGACCCCGCATTATAGTCATGGAACAGTAAGAGTACTGGGCAGCAGGCATCAAACCTCTTTTGTTTGTGCTTGCCAAGCGGGCAAGATAAACTGTCATGCAGCATGTTGATTGTGGGTACAGAACGAAGTGTCGACATATTCCTTGGACAGCATCCTAGGCCCCGCGCACAGCTCAGGCACGTCAGAGATGAGCAGCTTTTTGCAGCATTGGCCATCAGTGCCCAGAGGAGCATTGCTGACTTCAGCATCATGGTGGGGGAAGGGCCATGAACAGCGGGTTTGGGTTGGGAAGCCCAGTTACTAGTAACAAGGGCATTGCTACTAGCGACAAGAAGCTACTAGTAGCTCTGCAATACTACTGTAATAGGAACAAGAAGCTACTAGTAACGAGGACATCGCTATATACTAGTAACAAGGGCACACTACGAGTAGCAAGAAGCTGCTAGTAGCTCCTGGCATTACTGTAGGAACAAGAAGCTACTAGTAACAAAGGCATTCCAACTAGTAACAAGGGCATTCCAACT